TTTTATACAACTTTCACATGTTATTAAATGAGTGGATGCATTTAATATCACAAATTTCATATAAATTAAAAAAATTAATTATTTTAATAGTACATCAAATTGTATAAAAAAAAAAAGATATTGTTCCAATAGCATTTTCCTTAAAATATGGATGGCAGGTCCTACAACATTATGGATGCTCAAAATCAGGAACTTCCATTGTCGAGATTAATTTTAAAAGGCAGAGAGCACTTTCTACTGTCCAAATATTAACCTTTTATCATAATCTACTATTATAATAATTTGTCTTAAGGTTTAATGTGGGACTAATCCCTCAATTTGTTGAATTGATTTTGTTTTGGTCCATGAGCTTACTTTGTGTACCTAAATAAGCCTTAAACTTATTTGTCTAAATCCACAATGGTTCTTTAATTTTGTTAATATAATTAATATTCATGTGTGAGAATATTAAGTCTTCAAAAATAATTTTTTTACTTACATGTACATTCGGATCTTTTCATTAATATTTGAGAAGAATCTTTTAAAGTGATTTAATCAAAGTTTTAATCTTGAATTGGTAAAAATTTAATTTTACATCTCATGTAGGTGTAAAAAAATAACTAAATTTACTATAAGTGTATCAAAACATTTTTAAAAAGTTTATAATACTCATTATACACAAGTATACCTTCATACCTAAATCCTTCACGGATCAAAATACTGTAAAACCCTACTATTTTAATTTAGGTTTCAACCCTATATTTCCTCCATCTTCTAGTGTCATCGGCTTCAATTTGATGTTACTTGATTTTAAACTTCAAATCTCACAATAAATAATGGTCTTAACAACCTCAGTTTCAAAAAATTATAGCGTCTTTTAAACCTCAATAAGATAATTTCATTAGCACCCATGCATCATCATGATGATCTAGTAAAAGGCAAAATGAAAAAAAAAAAAAAAAAAAAAAAAAAAATTTTTATTTTATTTTTTAAAATTTATTTACTTATTTAAATTTTAAAAAAAAAAAAGAATAAGAAGAAGAAGAAGAAGAAGAAGAAGAGAAGAAGA